GAATGGTCTTCAGAAAAAAATTAGACCTTCAAGAAAGAGTGCAGATTTTCTTATGCATTTTTAGAATGTCAGACATTTTAATAGGTCTTCAGTGAAATGTGCAGAGCTTCAGGGAAGTTTGGCGGTTTAAAAAAATATTTCTTACGATTTCGATACTTCAAGGAAGCTCAACTATTTTCAGATAAATTTTGAGAACCTTAGGTAATTTAGAAGATCTGCAGGGACATTTTCAGATGTTCAGGGGAGCCTGAGAGTCTACAGAGGAATTTGCAAAACTTGAGACAAGTTTGCAGATCTACTGAGAAATGTATAGAGCCTCAAGATAATTCTTAGATCTTGAGAATAAAACTACGGAGCTTCAGACAACTTTACTTTACTGAAAGGTATTTTCAGAACTTCAGGTGAGTAGATATTTAGAGAAATCTGTAGAACTGCAAAGAATTTTTCAGATCTTCAGAGACATTCAGTGATTCAGTGTTTCAGAAAAAGTACTTCAATTCCAAAAAACAAATCTCAGCGAAGTACTAAAGTTCAAGATTTGCAGAAATGCAGAACTCCATGGAAGTTGGAAATAGATAGATCTGAAGAACTTCATAAAAGTCCGTAGACCTTAAGAGAAGTCCATAGAACTTCAGGAAGTTCGTACATTTTTAGAAAAAATGAAAAACTTACAGAACTTCTGGAAAGTTCGCCGATCTTTAACACAACACAACTTCAGAGAAATTCAAATATTTTCAGATAATTTGTAGAGCTTTTGTGAATTTCAAAGAAGTTCAGATAAACTGCAGAACCTTATGGAAGTCCAAGAATCCACAAAGAAATGTACAGAACTTTAGAGAAGATCTACTGAAAAATCTGCAGAATTTTATTGAGGTTCTTGGATTTTAAGTAAAATTTACAGAACTTCTGGGAAGATAGATATTTGCACAACTTCAGAAAAATTGGTAGATCTTCAGAGAACTTCCTTTAATTTCCGGGAAGCTAAAATTTTTCTAGATATTTTATTATACTTAAGGGAATTGCGTAGATGCTCAGAGATATTTACAGATATTAATTGAATCATGATAATCTACAGAGAAAATTATATAACTTTCGAAAAGTTCGTAGATTATTAGACATTTAGTGAACATCATAGATAATTGTTGATATTTAAGGATCTTAAATCTGCATGGATTCAGGAACTATGTAAATTTGTATAGAAATTTGAAGAACTTCTAAAGAACACACAGAACTTCCAAGAAATCTGCAGAACTACCGAGAAATTTGCAGATCTTCAGGAAAGTTGGTTGATCTTCAAAGATATTTTACCAGAGAACAGAAATAAAACTTCAGGTACGTCCGCACGTCTTCAGAGATTATATTATGCAGAATTGAGATCTTCATAGAAATTTCCAGTACCCAAGGAATCATGTAGATCTAAAGAGAACTTTTCCCAGTAGCTTGTCGAAAGTTGGTATCGACATCCTGGCGAAGTTTTGAAATCCTTTTTCGTCTTAATATCGCAGTTCTTGAAGGACAAGATGAGCCAGATCCCTGCCTTTGCTCCTCCTGAGCAACCATTTCCTACTCCGCAAAGTGCACCTTCTCCTTCTTATTTTATTTAAAATAATAAAAGCAAATACGCCTGCCAAAGCTAGAGCAATTTTCCGGTAATTCATTATAAACGCATTTACTTTTGATTCCGGATACAAATTTTGTTTTGAAATCTAAATTGGCAATTCTTTCGACATGTGCAAGCAGTGTGAACACCAGCAAATAGGGGGGATCGACAAAATGTGTCAAAAGTAAAATCGAGCAGATTTTTCATTATGGCGCGGCGGTCAAAATCAGACCAAGAAATCAGATAGTCTAAACGGACCTTTAGCCATTTTTCCACTCTTCTTCAGTTCTGGATCAACATTAGAAAAGGGCCCATCAGCATTTGTAAACAAACCGTTCTAACGCCCTTTCCTCACAAAGCGAAGGCCGGTCACGCAAACCAACACCTGCATCATGTAGAGGAAACTTTCCTCTATCCGATGATGGTGTTGGTTTGCGTGGGCGGCTTTCACTTCGTGAGGAAAGGGCTTTAAGACGCTTTGTTTACAAATGCTGATGGGCCCTTTTCTATTGTTGATCCAGCAGTTTAGCTTTGATGATACCCCAATCAATTGACGTCTACTCCATTATCGCGATGCCGCATTCTTACTGTAGTGGCAACTCGCCAAATCTGGCAAAAACTTGACGGGGCTCCGGTGGGACCTAATCATCGGCAATACACGTTTTTTCAGGCATTCGTTGATGTATAACTATATGTAGAGCGCACAACCGGTAGGGTGGCACGCTTGCCTCTTGATCAGGGCCCCACAAAGTCACTTTCAAACGAAAATCTTCAAGTAACGATGAAGCTCTCCAACCATGACTTTCAATTGAAAGTCATTTTGTCTTCTCTTCGAGTAGATCCCCGTCAACATCAACAGAACCACTTTCGATCGGTTTTCATGCTGTTTGTTTTGACTTGACTCGTGTTCATTTCTTCTTTCATTGTCAAATGAACTTACTTTTGCATCGAAGCGAAGCTGTTTGATCCAAATTCGCGCAGTTTTTATGACTTTTGTTGATTGTTCACTCGGTTCATTTAAGCGTGTGCGCATAGATCTGTGCACGTGGTTGTAAAATTTATCATTGTTGGGTGGTTTGTTTACCCATCAATATATGGGTACTTTTTGAATCGGGATGACGTCTAGAGATCGAAAATTGATATGCGACGCCATTTTTAAATCCAAGATGGCGGCTTCCAGATTAAGAAAAAGTAGGAAATGCTGTCAAATACTTATCAAAAAGGTATTTTTGGAATCGGGAGGATGAAAATCGATATCTGACGCCATTTTGAAATCGAAGAAGGTGGCTTCCGATTTACGAAAAAGTGGAAATTCAGTCAAATACTCATCAATATTGGTATTTTTGTAATCTGTATGAAGTCTAAAGATCGAAAATTGATAAACGACGCCAATTCGAAATACAAGATGGCGGCTTCCGATTTCAGAACAAGTGGGAAATATTGTCAAATACCCATCAATATAGGTATTTTTGGAATCGCGATGACGTCTAGAGATAGGAAATCAGGATCCGACGTCATTTTGTAATCCATCAAATACCCATACAAACGGGTTTTTTTTTAAGAATCCGGGTAACGTCTAGAAGCCGGGAATCGATATCCGACGCCATTTTGTAATCCAAATGGTGGCTTCCGATTTGCGGAAAAGTGTCAAATTCCCTAAAATATGGGTATTTTCAGGATGGGGATGAGACATAGATGCCGAAAATTGATGTCACGCTGTCTTTTTTGGAATCGGGCTGACATATAGAAGCCAGAAATCGATGTGCGACGCCATCTTGAAGTTCAATTTAAGAAGAAGTGTCAAATAGCCTGCAAATGACATCGAATATCGATTTTCAGCATCTACGCGTGGTCCCGGTTCCGAAAAAACCCAGATATTAGGGTATTTGACACTTTTGTGAAACCCGATGGCCACCATATTGGATTCCAAAATGGCATCGAATATCGATTTTTGGGATGTACATGTTGTCCTCATTCCGTAAATACCCATATTTTAGGGTATTTGACACTTTCTGAACCCTGATGGCCGCCATATTGGATTCCAAAGTGGTATCTGATATCGATTTTCGGCAGCCACGCGTTGTCTCCGTTCCGAAAAAAAACCATATCTTAGGGTATTTGACACGTTTTAGGAAACCTGATGGCTGCCATTTTGGATTCCAAAATAACGTCGAATATCGATTTTCCGCACCTTCATATTGTCCTCGTTCCGAAAATACCCATATTGTGGGGTATTTGAGACTTTTCCTGACCCCGATGGCCGCCATCTTGGAGTCCAGAATGGCCTCGTTAATTTAATTTTAATTTTTATTATTACTATACCTAAACTGGATGCCTTCCCTATCGGCAACCTATATTGTGCGAATACTATCCGGATACTATATTGTGATGCCTGCGTCGTCAGGTCGTGAGGTCGTGACAAGTCGAATGAGCCCCGAATTGAAGTGAAAGTGGAAAAAAACGAAGGAAGCAGTTTTCGAGTCATTAATTGTGTCAATTGAAACAAGTCTTTGCTTAAAATGAAATGAACTGAAGCACTTGACGAACGAAACAAGTGATAGTCCTGTCATGTTTGAAAAGAGGAATGTTCATCGTGACTCGATAACAAGAAACACGATGACTTACACGAAAATGATATTGCTCGAAATGAAGCGATTTTGCGGAGAGTTCATTTTCTTTTTCTTGATCCCCTACTTTCAATGTTGATTGACATTGATACACTAGGGTAAATTATGGCTTCGGCACCCATTGACTGTTTTCGGCAACCGAAATTGAAACGTTAAGTTCACTGTATTTTCCCATCAAAACTCTTCGCTGAACATATTAAGCCGATTCCTTACCTTTTCAGCTTCAATCTGATTACATTTTTACGACTGTGCAATCCTGTTCTGCCATATTTTTCTTTAAATGAAATATACACACTACAAAATACGGCTGATTTCGAGTTGCCGATAATAGAACAGCTGGTTAACACGCAGTTCAAATGGAAAGGGTGCCGAAGAAAAAGAGACTGCCGACAATAGTCACACTCACCTGAGAAGTTTGGAGCGTTGTAAAAACATGTTCAACCCGTTTTGATCAATTCTGTCGATTGAAATTGGTAGAACAGCAAGCAGCAGATAAATGTCAACAAACAAACCTGTCATGTATGTGTGGGACGCTGAGAAATCGCTAATAGAAGTTCGGACGCTGCTTAGATTGATGAGAATACGTAAATTCCCCTATATGTTCAGTTTCTACCAAAAACACCATTCTTACGCGTTGAACCATGAAAAACCCATAAAATTTCAAGGTCATATTTTTAACCGGTGAACCGAAACACGCTTCCTATTTAGAGTCAGCGCCCCAGTCACCTCTCACTAATTAAGTGTCATTTTACCGTTTCCATTTTTGCCGACAGGTCTCCCGCGATGACGAATCGGCTGCGTCCAGCATTATTCTGATCCGCCGTGCCCGTCGTTTCTCTACGGCTACCACCTACATCCTGTTTCTGATTGCCCTGCTGGTGACGTCGCTGGGAATCATTGCCGGTGTGTTCTACTATCGGCAGAATGCCCACTTTAGCAACCCCCTGCGATTCCACGGTTTCTGTCAGATCCCGTACGATTCCACCAACGTCAACGACAACAATATGTTCTACATGAACGCGATGCTTCGCCACGATGATGTCAATTCGCAACTCGATCAAATTGAAGACTTGGTCCAGCCGATGCAGAGGGAGTTCCAGGAAATAAAACAACGCTTGGATGACACCGATATGGACGTGACCGATCAATTCTTCAAGGAGGAATTCGAACTGGGCCTGTCCGACGACGAAAACTACTCGAAGATCAACGTTCCAGTTTTCCATGGTCAGCGCCAGGGTCGCTTCCTGCACGATTTCAAGTACAACCAGTCCGGCATCATCGACAAGGACAACGGTCGGTGCTTCTTGATGCCACTGGATCGGGAAACCGTGCTGCCACCCAAGTCGCTGCGGGATTTGATCGAGAAGATGTGGAACGGATACTACAACATCAACACCAGCACGGTTCGCAAGAACATGCGTGTCATCACGCCGGAACTGAAGGATTTGAACGACGTGTCGCCGAGAATCACCAGCGAGTGCGCGGATATGAAGATCTACCGGTTGGAGAAACTAGTTTCTGGAGGTGAGTTGTGTAAATTTTACCCTTTTAAACGTCAACTAATTCGGTTCTTCTTATTCTCCCATCCGCAGTTTTCAAACGATCGGCCGATCTGCACCAGCACGCCAAGTTTGCCGAATTCGGCGGTAATCACATTTCGGTTATCGATATTCAAAATTTGGAGGATATCGTTAACTGAAAGCTGAGGTCATCCTCCAGCTAAATGATTTATTTATGTTAAATTTCGAATAGAAGATGCAAGCACGCACTTACACAATAACAAACAATTAAAACCAAAAAAAAAAAAACAACTTTTCACCATTTGATTGCGGAACCTAGGAAATGAAAGCGGAACAGTAAAATGTTAGTCCGGAGCACGTGGTACGGGACGGTCAGTATGGAACAAATTTAAACTAGAATTATTGGTGCGTTGGATTGTTGGTGACAACGTCACGTGATACAGAGGATGTCAATGTAAAAGTAAAAGACAAGTTAGGAAATTAGAGCCCTCGAAGCCCCGATTATGCGATTGATGTGCAACTATATTTTGAAAAGCAAGCAATTCATACTAAAGAGTAGTTTGTCATAATTGAAACTTTTTTCCCCCAATCTCTGAATGTAGTAGCTTTCGTGACGCAATTCCGTAAAAATCCATAGTCATGTTCGAATGTGATATTAGTTCCGTCAGGAGATTTGTCTATGATTTAAAAATTCGCTTGTACCCGCAGAAAACAAACTAAAATGCCTACATTTGCCGCTACGCTTCAACGAACGAACCCGTTTAGGATAAGAAACACGTTACCTACGAGGCAAGTGCATCAAATGGAGAAAAACCTAAACCGAAGTAGTGTTTTGCAGGAATGTATGTTAGTTCTCAAACAAGGATTTTTACTATGCGATAATATGTTAATTTATGTTCATATGATTGTAAATTATTCGTAAAGAAGAAAACAAAAAAAAAAGTTGCCGCAGTCTGTGATTGAGATTGTGTGGCTCTATGTCATACCGGATTTATGTATTACATGTCTGTGTGTATTACAATATTTGCGAAATTATTGTAAATTAAAACACAAAATACTACAACAAAACCTGTTGATGATGATCCTTCATAATAAGCGAATTGCAATTTACTGTGGAATATTGAAATAAAGTTTTATTAGAAACCAAACACCGATCGCTGTTTGAACACTATGTAACACACTTTAACATTTTATTCTAGGACAGAAACATCTAATCATATTGGGCTTTATTGTGGTCCCTTAAGTTAAAGCGAAGACTAAAAATCAGGAAGACTGGCAACTTTTCCCTTCTCCCATACAAATGGCAAACATCACTGAAAACAGCGCCTCTATCAAACAAAGATGGAACTTTGAAGCATAAGTGTTAGTGAGACTGCTCATTAACAGTGACTGTGTGTGTGACCTAATGCCACCGAAACGAATAATGATAACACGGTACTCGTTGTTGTTTTTGTTTTGCTCTGCAAAATTTCACGGCAATTTGTATCCTAATCCCAGCAAGCCGGTGTTTTTCCAACTCCAAACCGAAAAACTTGTCATGGTGGATCAAGTAGAGGATTGAAACTCGGTTCGATACCTAATGAAAGTAATTTTTACTTGTGAACGAGGAACCGAAATATTATTTATTTTGCCTGTTGGAAGCAATCAATAATAAGGAATTGACAGCTTCCACCCAGGCTTCCAGTGCGCGCGCTACCGTATGCGAGACGCAATACGAATAGTCTCATAATCATAGCAGTCTCATGCGCAAGAGATTTGTAGCACTCTGTTTCTCTCTCTTCAGTTTTGTCGCATCTCACATTCTCATAATGTCTGTGTGTCGCACTGTTTTGTAAGCACAGCACATTTCCGGATGTATGCGTTTCATGAGAACGAGTATCATGCGACGTCGCGTGAGCCGAAGCTCATGCGCTTTTCGCAATGAGACGTCGCTAAGCGACGTTTCAATGCGACATCGAAATAACAAACTCAACTGGAAGACCAACTCGTGTTCTTGATGTGGGGAAAGTGTTGTTTTGTTTTGGAAACGATGGAAAGCGACCTAGCTACTACACTCTTATCGAACATGGAGAAGAGGTGTCGGATGGTTATGACCAACAAAGTTTTCCTAGCGGCAATTTTCGTTGATTAAAGGATTAACTTGAAAAATAGCCCATTCATAACGAACGAAGTAAGAGATGTGGCTTTGGTAAGCGAAATGTACAATCAAGTTGTGGTTTATTTGCTCGAGGGTCCACGGTACTAACACTAGGACTATTTAGAAATCTGTCGCCGCAAATTGATTGTTTAAATTCAGCATCATGGTGGCTGATATGCACTATCCTGTGAGCGCTAACACATCTGAAGAATTCAGTTGCTACCGTAGTAAGTTTTGTTGATTAACAGGTATTCAATACAATTCCTGAAGCAAGAAGCTTAGCAACAATCCGTAATACAGATATGACACAAATTGTTCCTAAATTTATTACTTTAACCTTAATCCAGCATTTCGTACCTACGTACACTGTGGTGCAAAGTTGATCGGACAAAGGTCGTTTTCATACAAACTGGCCAAGTTTAACATGTTATAAATGTGTTCTGTTATGATCAATTGGGCTGAAATTTTGACGCAAAACTACAAATATGTTGAATTTCACGTGTAAGAAATACCAAATTTTTTGAAGCACCTGCTGGAAGGTGACAATAAAAATAAAATTTGTGCATAGCTGATCGGACAAAGATCAATGGAAAAGCAAGTTTTGTGTCAAAAATTTCAACTCAATTGATCTGACAGAACACATTTACAACATGTTAAACTTGGTTAATTTTTAAGACTTGTTGTATGCAATGAGCAGTCACCACCAACGTTTTTGCAGCAAACTACACTTCTGCGTTGAAAATAATCCCTTAAAATAGTGTTCACTCAAGCCAGACAAATAAAAATAGTAATCTTCAGAGTTCTATCATTACTAGCGTGTTGATATGATCGGTCAAGTCAGACCGAAATGTGAATTTTTTATTTGACTTTGAGAAAAACGAATTTAAAATTGGCTGTTCAATATTGTGTCTTATGTAATGGGAAAAATCATTTGACTGTTTTCTCGTGCTACTCTAATTTTTCAAATCTGGCTGAAAAAGTGAAATCTAGCTGAGGGAATTCTTGATCTTATGATATCATTAACTAATTTTTTGTTTTTATTTTGCTACTTAGTCCCTTCTGACTTAAGGCCGACCATATGATCTTGTATAGTATAGTGCTGTTTTACATTCAAAATCGTCCATTTATATTTTTACTGGTTTGAGTAAAAGTATTCTGAGGGATTCTGAGTTTAATTTGGTGCAAATGCGCAATAACTTGTTTATTTTTCCACCAAATGGGCTGAAAGAGGCCTCCAAAAAAATGTATTTTAGAAGATTTCCGCATAAGGACTTGTTGAAGGACACATAGTTCCACAGATATTCCGGTATTATTTGGGTGCTAACATGATAACGGTATCCCAACTACCGTAAGGTTGCCATCCACCGCTCACGTAGCCTTCCTTTACCTTCCTTTAGCATCCTTTCGACAAGCAATTGCGTCTTCCTAGGATCATTAGTGGTGATCTTACGGTGATTCCAGTATATCTCTGGAACCATGAGTTGAGTCTGCTTGAATCTATACTAGAAGATATTTCTAGAACCATCTAAAAACTTTACCCCATTTCAAAATCCACATGTGCAAAGGGCCACAAGTCTTCTGTGAACAAACCCTTGCAGTCCCTTATCTCGTCACCCGACAACATCACTTATGATGGGACCGCGAGAGTCAAAGCATGCGAAACAGCACATTGAGATGTTTCAATGAAACAGTCGCATGTGATTGAATACATGCGTCGCATTGAGAGAGCAATGCGATGAGACAAACAAAAATTGAAACGCTCGAATTTGTTGAGAGCGTGTAGCTTGTCGCGCGCATCGTTCTGGTCTCTCTTTTGTACAATAATGTAGCACACCATGGATTTGAGAGTCATGCGACGCTCCGTCTCACAGCTCGCTGTCGCATTTGTGTACGCGTGAGATTTCCGGAAGCCTGCTTTCCACCAGCATTGAGTGCACTACCGTCATTCGGAAGCTGCTGAAAATGCAAGGATTCAAAAAGAAGAATAATCCGATACCTACATCACGATCCAACGGAAGGCGTAGTAGGATTTAATGTTGGAGAAAATGAAAATGAAAGGTTGAAGGACTACAAAGAATATATTTCCATTTTAGATGCTGTCAGAACATGAAACCACCGTGATCCTCTGTATGCTTTAACAATGCTTGGAATCGACCGACCCCTTCCAGAGAATGATAACAACAATGTCGGATTGGCCAGTGACATTCAAATGGTCAGCGAGTACTGTGCCAAGTTGCCGAGCGTCACAACTTAACTCCCCCGCCGTGTGGAACAGGCATGCATTTTACCATACGAATGGCCATAAATGGATTACTAAAGGGCTTAGGAAAAGTGGAAGATAATTCTGAGATAGCAAATTAATGATCGAGGAAGGTCCCACCATCATTGTGAATGGCATCATTGCCATAGTTTTAATTTTCAAAACAATTATACTCACGCAGCTGTTCAATTTCAGCTGGCATTTTATCCGTTGTCAGTATAAAGCAAAGATAGAGACGTTTCACTTTTTACGACAATCATAACAAAACCAATAGTTGACAGCTATTTATTTCTACCTACGTGTGTGAATGCACTCGTGAATTAACACACCTTCATACACAGGTTCCACTTTTGCTCAGAAAAGGCGTTGCCGTTACTGTCTGCCAGTCTTCTTGATGTGTAGTCTTCGATTAAAGCCTAGAATTCCTTTACACCTTAGGGGAAATCAACTCTACACACCTCAATCTGTGCCGATAGTTTTCGCTGTGCCGAAAGCTATGCCAGTCGCTCTGCCAAAGCGTGTCAAACAAGTATCCCTGAGTTTGGCAACCCTGAAGATTTAATGACTTTTGTGATTTTTTATTTGTGATTGTGCAAGAAAACGAAGCGTGATAAAAGTAAATTTATGTATGCAGCCTAACATAACTAATGCTGTATGGAAATTTCCCCAAAATAAGCAAACCAAACCAAATCGGTTCCAAGAAGACTGGTGCATGCCGGTACATTAGTTTTACTCCGTCGGATGGTTTCCAGAAAGCTGCATGTGGTTCTTCATCCGTGGCGTTGACTGTGGAACAATACCACTGCGAAGTGGAGGTGGAACTGTTCAATCGTCTGCAAGCGGAGGACGGTTACATGAAGAATAGCGGGGATTTTGAAGAAAAAAAAAGTTTTTCGATTTCCTCGAGGTGAACAAGTTTGAGCTGTCGAATGTGTTTCTGTTGTTACAACAGTGTTGCATGCCAAGGGGATGGTTCGACGTATAGTCGCTATATTCATAGTCTGGCACATAGAATTTCAATCTATCAAAAAGCGGAACCAACTCAATATATTTTAGACCAACACTTAAAAAGGTACTATCAACTCTTATAAACAAAACGTTGATTATTGTTTCCTCGCCAATCGAACGCAACCCAACAAACAAGTTTAGCTGCAGATTAGCTTATACAGCCAAAATTTGCCTA